TGGCCCGCCTTTTGCTTTTAAGATGAATATTACTCTCTCCTTCCTGAAAATATAAACCTGTTCTTTTCTTCTACAGATTTGATGTTCATGGTTGTGGACACACAGTTGTAACTAAGTTATTTGATTTAAATTCTCAAATTTATTGCTTTCAAGATAGGTTCATTCCAGTTATGATAGAGAAGCTGAAGAACATCTGATTTCAGTGGCAAGGATATTTTGAACTTAGAAAAAGCTGTTAAGAGAAAAAAAATCTAAAACGTTTTACAACTAGATAGGTGTAGATGAATAATGTCATCTGTGAAGGATACCAAAATGTTATTGTGTAAAAGTAATGAGATACTCTGGGTAAGCCTGGTGGTCATAAAATACCACAAATAAACTTGGATTATTCACATGATCTGTGACAGTGTCATACAGCTCAGTAAGATTTTGAGGGTTCTTTGGAGGAGGCACAATTAATGATGAATTTCCACGTGTGTAGACTCCAGTAAGCACTCGCACATAATACATATGCTTGTTCTTATTTATATCTGGCTTGGAGTATGTATCCTGGGCAGAATAACTGGCCTTAACTGCAAAATAGGTTCCCTTTCCAAATGCCACAGCTGTGAAGAAAAAAACACCAGTTTTAAAATTTTCAATTTAGTCTGTAACTTGACATATTGACCCAATGTGACAAATAATGTTAAAATAATGGTCAGTTCTTCACTTTAAAGCCTCTTAAAAATTTTTTCTTTTTCTGTGTTTCTAATTTTTAAAAAATCATTCCTCCACCACAGAGGGCCATGGTTAGTTAGACCTAAAACTTTGGCTACAACATGGCCACCAACCATGAGGGAACACAGTGCAGTCCACATGGTCCCTTAGCCAGCTTGGGTTCACACTGCTGACATCTCATTGGGAGCACCCACATTACTCGCTTTCTTACCATTCTTTCCAGCATAACTGCGGTTAAAGCCAAGTTGGTTGACATGTGGCAATGAGTCTGCATCTGTCCCATGGAAAAGCTGCCGCTCATTTCTAATATGTTTATTCTTGTCATCCATTACTTTTTTCTGTATCATGTAGCTCCTCCAGAGACGTGGATTCTGGATCCTCTCAATCTGCAAATCAATAAGGAAAAATATTCTGTTAGTGCCAAGAGCCCTTGGCAAGATACAGCAAATGAAACATGACCACTATTTTTTCTAAGTAGAAATTACAATAAAC